TGATTTCCTCCTTTCTCTCCTTAATTTCTTTTTTTCTATCTTCTCTTCAAAACTTAATTAGTGTATTTAGAGAGAATTAATTAAAAAGAGATGAAACGGTAGCTAGTTAATGAAATATAAATTTCGTACACGATGTACTTCTTTTGTCTAATTTTCTTTTGGTTGGGTGACGGCAAATTTTTTAGAATACGGAAGTAAATGGTACCTCTCCCAACAAATCACATGCACGTCTAATTTCATTTACGTACTGCCTTTTGGATATCATAATTTTTGTTATATAAATAATAAAATTTTGGTTTATACTAAAAACCAGACCTAAAATAATATTTTTTTAGAATTCAATTGTGATACTATTTATTTTGCAAAATAATATCTTTGCCTTAATTTTTTTTCTCTTGAATTTTGAAAAGTATAATTAATTATGTATTCTAAATTTATAAAAAAGCAATTTTTTTTTTAAAACAAGTTTCATGCTATTCATTACTTATCAGAGTTTGAATATTCATAATCATTATATCACATAAATAATAAATAATTTATATTAAATTCAAAATACATTTTTTTCAGTGAGTCAAAATACATATAACTATAGTATAGATCATACTTTGTCTCACAAGAGTAATCTATCATTCTAATGGTTGCTTGAGTCATGTCTTTGTACATGTCCCAACGTGATTAGAAGGATCGCCTTTTATATTCAAATACTTGAAAAAGATTAGCCTCCATTGTTAATAGAATATATTTTTTATATCTCACAACAAAATTATATATAGTGTTATATTTTTGAAGTGAAAAAAAATGTGCATCTTAAATATAAAAGAATAATACAATTTATACTAATTTTTTAGTGGAAAAAGTATTGCAATAATTATTTTACTTATCCAAAAGTTTTTAAAGAATGGATAAGTTATAAAGGAAAATCTCATGAGGATCCCTGAGATAATTTATATTTAAGAAGGATCATAAAATTTTGAAATTGCATTGCGTAAATAATAAACCATTCAAGTTTTGACAATATTTCATTTGTAATTAAAAATAATACATTCATGCTTTAACAAGATGAAAAAATGAATACAAGTTTAATGAAACAAGTATTCACCCTATATAAATAATAAGTCATTTAAATTTTGACAATAAATTCATTTGTGTTAAACAATAACATATTTAGACATTAACAAAATAGAAAAAAACTAATGGGATGTGTTTAATTGTATAAGTATTAGTATTTCATTAATAAGTATTTATTCAAAATTTAACAATAACTCATTTAAAGTTAACTATATATTTGGACTTTAACATGCAATTTTTTTATTTTTTAAAATTTTAGGATAATGCCATTTTTTCTTAAAAACTTAATTTCAGATGGGTACTAAGAGACTATAGTTCAATTTTAGAATATTATAGTCCTTCTTTTATATTACTCCCTCCAATTTTTTTTGCAGGAGACAAAAATTATATCACACAATTTAAAAAAATAGATTAACTATATTAATTATGTCTGAAAATAAAAGAATTGGACTATAATACCCTTTATTAATTATGTTAATTAAGTATTTATTAATTTTTTTATAATTGTAAATGATGAAATTATTAGGAATAATATAAAAAATTTATAATAAATGTCTATTAAAAATGTGATTTTACTTATATAAAAAAATAAAAAAAATATAACTTTAAATCTCTCTACTTTATCTGTATTTTAATATTAGTTTTTATATTTTTTTTTAATATTTTTGGTCATTGTTAGGGACCTAAAATAATAAAAATATAAAAATATAGATATCAAAAAAATTAAAAAAAAAAATAAAAATTAATAATAAAATACGAACAAAATATGAAGAAAACTAACAGTGATTCCGCAAATAAAAAACGGAGGGAGTAATTACCTCCAGAGATTTTCCAATTACCGAACTGGAAAATGGAAGGCCTGGACTCACATGCGGCGCACGTGAGCACCTTCTAAACCCTAACCCCTCCCTTTCTCATCTTCGCGCACACTCTGACGAAATAACCTTAACTCCGTGATGGCTTCCCGCCGGCTCCTATCATCGTTCCGATCATCCCTTGGCCGATATTCATTGGTGTCTCAAGTTACGACCTCGAATGCTCGATTATCTTCCTCAGATGTTTATTCTGGCAATTCCTTTTCCAATGTAAGTTTCCATTTCATTCCGAAAGAATGTTCTGCGATTCATTGCGATCTGATGGTGCTACTGCTATGTAAAATGCCGAGAAAGCCGCGATATTGTCATTTTTATACTGCTCTGGAATGATATTTTACTTAATAATTAAATATTTTAGTGTCTCGGATATGCATGGTTAGACTTGTTGCTTTGCTCTTTCTTCTTTGATGCAATCGGGAAATGCTATTGACAGGGGCGGGTTCAGGATTTAAGTTTGAGGGGCGCACCCAGATTAAAGAGCATTTATCACCAATTTTTCATAAATCTTGGGGTGATGGACATCTATAACACCTATGTAATGCTAAGGGGAAAAAAAAAATTGCTGCATGGCCCTGCCAGTCCCCTCCTCCCTCCACCCCCTGGCTATTGATATCCGTAGCTTATGGCCATTATATGCTTCTTACGCATCCAGTTCAGCCGAATATTGCTCCCTTCATTCATCGAAAACTGTTCCTGTTTTACCTTCTTTAAACTCTTTTTAATCAGTGCTGCCACCAGTCTCCGGCGATTCCTTTGTTTTTCACGCCTTGTTGGTGGGTTCTGTTTAACTGGTGAAAATGATTATCACTCTCATTAAGTATAGGGAGGACATAACTGCAACAATGAAGGCATGTAGGGATGCTATTTCTTCTGAGCTTACCGAAGGGATATATCTGGCTGTGTATGATAAGAATAATCTGATATACTGATAAACATAAACATGAGAAGCTCTGTTTTTGAATGGAGCCATGAACAGTTGTATGATAGTTACATTTTAATGTTCTGGATTATATGAACTGTGAATTGGTCTTGAAGCTGATATATAGTTCTTTAGCTTTACTTGGTAATGTTCTGGGTTATGTGAATTGTGAGTGGGTATTAAGGCTGATATATAGATTAGCTTTACTTAACTGTTTTGTCCAAGAAGTTTTACTTAGACTGAGTATTTTTATATATGAAAGGACATGGCTGAAATGTTTCCATTGGATGCACCCAAGGGCTATAAAGATAATAGTAGCACATTGAACTGCTCTTGAAGAGCAGCAGATAATCTGGTCCTGAACTACAGTGTTATTCTTAATTGACTGGTTTGACATCAAGATTATGTTACGTCTTCCTTTTTTTGTGCTTGGTGTGAGGCTTTATTTATTTATTTATTTTTTAAAGCGAACCCCAATTTTTGATGTTCAAAGCAATTGTGCCTCTTCTACACTAATTAGTTGTGCATGGCCTTTGCTTACTTTATAGTTTTTCTTTGTTTGCTTTTGGTTTGAAGGTTTATCATCTTCCAGCAATGCGCACCTGTTTCTATTTCTGATGAAGTTTCTTTTTAACAATACATATACAAGCTTTGTTGTTTTGTTCATGTTACGTATGCTTGATTGAGTGACTAAATTAAATGTGACATAAGAAATTTGAGACCTTTTGAGTGCAATATTAGTAATATTAATGGTCAGGTATTTTGAAATAGTGGGCTTTGGATTTTAGACCCTGATCAATGGATATCTTCTGCCTTCCAATCCTCAGCTGACTAAGATTATTTCCCCAGACTGCTGCACTCTCAAGACTTGAATCCAAAAATGGCTTAGCGTCAATACTTGGAGATTCTAGATTGAGTTTGTCTCACCAAGCTGCTGCACTTGCACCCTGTTTCCCTTCCAGATTTATGTCAACCCAGATAAACTCTGTTGACTCTTCTGAAGATAGTTCCACTCCTGTCTCTGAAGTGCCTCCTCGCATTAAATTTAAGAGATTAGATAAAACTGCTAAGCACATTATGCAGGCACATGACTACTCTTTCTTCCTTTTAAGTTGGTGCATTTTATTTTTATCACTGTAAGAGTTGCTGATATCTTGCCGTTGTAGATTATAGATAAGGAAGCAGTAGGTGAAGTCAGAGCACTGAGAGAGATACCAGATATACAACCAGGCTACATTGTGCAACTCAAAGTGGTATGGGATTTTGTTTCGAAGATGTAAAATATTATTGCTATATCCGGGTACTGTTCAAAATATTTACTGGATATTTTCCTTATAAACTGAGACAACAGGAAGTTCCTGAGAACAAGCGCCGTATTTCAATCATAAAAGGCATTGTCATTGCAAGGCGAAATGCTGGTCTTAATACTACATTTAGAATTAGGAGGCTAGTGGCTGGAGTCGGAATTGAGTCTCTCTTCCCACTGTGAGCTCTAACTTCTCAGTTTTTGATGGATTTGCCTGCAGATGAGCTATGTTGTACTGGTAAAGTCGCATTTGGTTTTGATTAATCTTTGTGCAATAGGTATTCGCCGAACATAAAGGAGATAAAGGTGCTTGAGAAGAAGAGAGTGCGAAGGGCCAAACTCTACTACCTTAGGGAGAAGATGGATGCACTTAAAAGGCAATAACCAAGTTCGTCCTGGTAGAAATTTTTGATGATTCAAAATTTATTTGTACTCCGTATCTGCCTGTGGATGCAAGCGCCTGCATCTGTTTCCTTATTGACGTGATTTCACAATATATAGTTTTCATGCATATCCTCTGAGCTGGCAGATGTTTTGGGGAGGCAACATGTCAGAAATTGTATTGAGATGCATTCATATGAGAATATCTTATTTCAAAAGTTTTCTCAACGAGTGTAAAGATCTTCCCCCAAGTTGTAAGGATTATCTTTACTTTTGCTAATATTATGATAAAAATGCATCTGCTTGGGCTTGATTGTAATTGTTGATTAACTGCAAATTGTTACTAAGAACATTGAGAATGTTGGGGTGAATAAAAAGCTCTCCGGTTTTTCATTGTTTCAAAAGCTTAGATTGTAAGTAAAATCCTATCGTTGTCACCGATAGGTTGGAGCGCACACTCGGACTCACCCGCCACGTTCTATTTTTATGTAACTCCACGTTACATATGTTAAAATACTTGGCACACATTCCATCTGCATCTGATAAGAGTTCGAAGCTAGGGGCCTTCATTTTATAAAATGCATGGTGGCGGCGTGAACAAAGGGGATGGAGCTTTTGAACTTCCCGAAGCTGGTCTTTTTAATCAAGGTTTCTTATCTGATATGGAGTGAATGAGTCCCGGTTGTGATGGAACGTGGGAATTAGTTATAGGACTCTTTATTATATTATAATATTGAAAGCATTTTAATGATTGTCGAGTTAAATTAAAAGATAGAGTATGGATGATTAAATTGTGAGCTGTCTTGTATGTGGGGATGAATTACAAGGTCAAGCATTTGAATTGTTCTTCTGAAAATTTGTTTATCGCACGAACTCAGATTTTGTCCCTTGAACTTGGTTTCGTGTGTGTCTTTCATATATGTATACTTTAAACAAATAATATAAAAAATAAAACTAAATGTGCAATTTAATTTAATTTTTTATATTTTATCACTATCTTTTATTGTGCGTATAAATTTCTGTATATAAAGTTACGATTATTGTTATTTTTTTGCATGGACCTCCGCTATTTTATCCTATTCCTCTGTCTAATTCATTCGTTATATTGAGTTAATAATTTGGACTCAAAAAAAGTTGCAATAAATACATTTCTGCGCAAACGTGGCGTGGCGGCGAACTTCCACGCTTGGTCAAAACACGGAACCGGGGGACATTCATGCCATTACTTCAGTTTTCTTTTGGGTTAAATAATACCATTACTCTTGACTTAACTAGAATGCCTGACTCCACAAGTCTGGTCTTTGAAGCTTTGTTTTTGGCCTGACTGGTCTGTGATGCTTGATGAGCAAAACAATGGAGAGTTTCAGAGTTCTGTGTCTTCATTCCTTGCTGGTATGCTTTACGAGGAGTCTCGCTTCACAAGACAGTATCACACCAAGAAACTTGATTAGAGATGGCGAGACTTTAGTTTCTGCAAGTGGGTTTTTCGAACTCGGATTCTTCGGCCCTGGGTCTCCAAATGCCCGATACTTAGGAATATGGTACAAGAAATCTCCTTCTACAGTCTTCTGGGTTGCCAACCGAGACACACCTCTCAACAACAATAGGGGAAAGGGTGTTTTACAATTAAATGACGAAGGAGTTCTTCTCCTTCTCGATGCCACAAACAATACGGTGTGGTTTTCGAATAATTCATCAATCAGGGCATATAACCCTTTTGCCCAACTCTTGGATTCGGGAAATCTCGTCGTGAAAAATGGACGTGGGAGCGGTAGCAATGGTAACTTGGACCGATTCTTATGGCAGAGTTTTGACCACCCTTGTGACATCTTAATGCCAGGAATGAAGCTTGGGTGGAGTCAACAAACGGGGTTGGACAGATTTCTGACGTCATGGAAAAGCTCAGATGATCCAGGTCGGGGAGATTATGTAATCAAAATAGACCGTAAAGGGTATCCGCAATGCGTTGAACTGAAAGGTTCCGAGGTGAAGGTTAGAGTTGGGTCGTGGAATGGCTTCTCCTTCACAGGGTTTCCAAATCATAATGTGGATCCCGCAATAACTTATGAGTTTGTGTTGAATGAAACAGAGGTATATTACAAATTTGAGCTGATAAATAATTCCATTTTCTCTAGATATACAGTGACCTCATCAGGGATTGGGCAGCGTTTTGATTGGGTAATTAAAACAAGCAGCTGGCAGGTAATGGCCTCTGGACCCCCTGACCAGTGCGCAAATTATGCCTTGTGTGGTTCCTATTCTATCTGCACCATCAGCAACAATCCTGTTTGCCAATGCTTGAGGGGGTATGAACCCAAGAATTTTAAGGAATTGAATGTGTCTGATTGGAACAGTGGCTGCACTCGAAGGGTGCCTTTGGACTGTGATGGTGGTGATGGATTTAGAAAGTATACCGGCATCAAGTTGCCAGACACTTCTTCCTCATGGCATAACAAGACCGTAGGCCTTGAAGAATGTCAGAGATTATGTCTGCAAAACTGTTCTTGTACAGCATATTCAAATTTGGATATTCGAGGTGAAGGAAGTGGCTGCTTAATAGGGTTGATCAACTATTGGACATGAGACAATTTCCTGAAGGGGGACAAGACCTCTACGTACGAATTCCTGCTTCAGAGCTAGGTACTTTCATTGTTTTGTTCACTGCATATCGTTTTCTTCTTCCCCTTCCAGGTATCTGTTTGGTTAACTACAAGTTTTCACTTGTATGTTGTATCAATACGAAGGTGGGAGGGGTGAGGGAAAAGGGAGGAGCGTGTTAAAGGTTCCAAGAAAACCAATTTGCATGTTAACAACATCAGATTCTAATTTGAAGTGGTCTTGTGTCATTGTTTTTCTATTCGTTATGCTGTTTTGTTCTTCTAATTTATTTCCATTTCTCTTCATAAATTAGAGAAACTACTACTCTCTAAATGTAAAATTTTTACCACCTTTGAAGCTAGTCACAACTTGGTAGTAGTTGCCTTTAATTGAGATGTTTTACTCAAGGTTGATGATCCCTCACATTGTCAGATCATTTTGGGAACCAAGGCCATCGGAGCATGGGCGAGAAGGAGATAGTGGTAATTGTAGTTGGCTGTACAATATTTTTAACGAGTTTCATGATTTTTGGATTGATTTTAATTGCAAGGAAAAGGAAACTTCGAAAGTCAGGTAAATTTTATCATGCTTTTCTTTTAACATGAATATATATATTTTGTCACGGTTCTGAAATTCTGGATATTGTCACGTTCAACAACAATAATCTAGGGATGGAAATCATGGATATTCCAACATATAACCTGTCAGTCATTGCTAAGGCTACTGATAATTTCTCCACCATTAACAAATTGGGAGAAGGTGGCTTTGGGCCAGTATACAAGGTACTATAACCATATCAAAACAATGATTTTCTGTTATCTCTTTAAGAGTAACAAGAACTCTTAATTATCATTTTCAGGGTACACTAGATGGGCAAGAGTTAGCTGTGAAAAGGCTGTCAACGAAATCTGGTCAAGGGTTGGAGGAGTTGAAAAATGAAGTTGTGTTGATAGCAAAACTTCAGCACCGTAATCTTGTGAAGCTTCTTGGTTGCAGCATTGAAGGAGAAGAAAAGTTGTTGATTTATGAATATATGCCAAACAAGAGCTTGGACCACTTTATTTTTGGTTTGAAACTCTGAGCCTTTGCCAAATTCCCAAGTTGTTGAGACTGCAACTAGCATTCTAACATGTTTTTAATGTCCAGATGAAACTCGAAGCAACTTACTGGATTGGCTTAAGCATTGGCATATTATTCATGGCATTGCTCGAGGACTTGTTTATCTTCATATAGATTCTCAATTGAGAATTATTCATAGAGACCTTAAAACAAGCAATATTCTACTAGATACTTATATGAATCCAAAGATATCAAATTTTGGCTTGGCTCGCACATTTTGGGATGATCAAGTTGAGGCCAACACCAACAAAGTTGTTGGAACATAGTAAGTTGTTTTGTCTCCTACATATTTATCACTTCCTTTGGGACTTCAGTTTTCCACTTATTTGAAATCACAAATTATATACTTTCAGTGGATACATGCCTCCTGAGTATACTGTACATGGACAATTTTCAATGAAATCCGATGTCTTCAGCTTTGGTGTAATAGTGTTAGAGATTGTTAGTGGGAAGAAGAATAGAGGATTTTCAAACCCAGAGGACTACCTTAATCTTCTTGGACATGTAAGCATACTACCTAATTAAAAGAACTTTTTCAGATAGTTGGCTATGAAAGGATTAAACAGGAACTCATCAAAATGAGTGAATGAATGGATCTCAGCACCTGAATCGCCCATGTTCGTTCAGCATTCATTTACATTTTGTATAGCCTACTGAATCGCTGATATCTCAGACTTCTAATGATTTCTCAGTAGCTTAGTAGTCAAAGCAGAAAGTTTCCTGCTCATTATTTTGATCACTGTACGATTCTTTGCACCAGCTGGTTGTGTTAGGCTTCAATAAGAACTCCCCCAAATTAATGTGAATAGGCCCCACCACCTGAAACACTCGTGTTTGTATTGGCTCATTGGCTCATTGCACAAACATTTGACATATTACGAGCACTTGAATTTTTCCCGGCATAGAAGTTTATTTATTTATTTATTTTTGGTATCACTCTGATGTTAGGCATGGAAATTGTGGATTGAAGGAAGACCAATGGAACTCATGGATGATGTTTAAAGGAAAGTTGCATTGAATCTGAAGTAATGAGATCTATCCAGGTAGGACTGCTATGTGTGCAACAGAGAGCTGAGGATAGGCCAGATATGTCAGCTGTAGTTCTAATGTTAAATGGTGAGAAATTGTTGCCACAGCCAAAAGTTCCTGGTTTTTACACTGCAAGTGATTTTCCTCTTGATCCAACTTTGTACCAAACATTCATACAGTTTTCACAAAATGAAATTTCTCAAACCATGCTAGAGGGAAGATGATTCATAGATGGCTGTAGCAATAACATCCAGTTTCAGTGATCTCACCACTTGTTGAAATACCTGTTGTATGATTTTTTAAGAAAATATTATAGAACATAATGATTTTTTAAGATCGATTATTTCAAGTTTAAATGTAATAAGTGATCAAGTGTACATTTTTGCAGCTGTACATTCACATGGTTAAAAAAATTGAGCTGTATATAGGGGTCGGTCCCTTTCATTATGGGCTTTTCATTTGCATCTTCCTATTTGAGAAGAACATTGGCTTTAAGGAATGTGGAGATATATCGCAATTTTGGAAAGCTTTGTGTTTTTGTTGACATGGATTTTATTAAAAGCATATCAAAAACAAATTGCTCTTATTATTATTATTTTTGGAGTGATATGTTATTTACATATTTTTCTTTTATTATAAAAATATACATAACTATTCTTCAGTTTTTCTTTTTTTACCAACGACTATTCTCCAAGTTAAAATGAGCAACACTCACTGTTACTTAGAATATAAGCCATTAAAATTTACTTCTAAACCTTTTACATTCATGTCAATATTTTTTGTTTTATGTTGGAAACGATAATTTGAATTTATCCTAAATTTTAAAACTTTAATAATTTTTAATTGTCTATTTAATATTTTTTATATTATATATGGGGCATGGATATTCAAATGTTATAGAGAAATTAAGGTACAAATCTACCTTCAAGCATTTGATTTTCGTGAAATTTTTTTGGCATAATGTGGCTTCAAACAATGTTGCCATATTGTTAGGATTTTTTTACCTTTTTTTTTTTTGTCACTTCAAATTCATTCTTATCATCTAACTAATCACATGCACCGAAAAGTTTACTGTTATATTCAATGTTCATCATTCTATTCACTTTGATTGAAATTAAGATAAAGGCCTAATAGATGGTAAGGTAATTTTCTTGAAGTGAACTATAATAATAGATTCATATTATGGAAAAAGGTTTTGGTTAATCTCAACTTTTCTTAATCCCAGGTTACTTCAACCTTGGCCGGTCGGCCGAAGTTACTGGATTTGACTCATGATTTGGCCGGCGAGTTACGTTCCATTAGTCGTGTCTGAACAATTGTGACAGGTTGTACAAATAATATATATTGAGTTACTTTGCATTATATGGAATTAAAAAAAAAACACATTATCTATGTTTAAGAATTGTGTAATTAGATATAGATAATATATCTGAGATTAATACTGTAGTAGTGTCATTTTGTATGTTGTTTAGGAAATGGTAGAACCAATGGTTCTTGTATTAAGTGAGCTGATTGTTATTTGACAATAATTAAACATAATTACTGTTCCAAAAAAGACCCAACACTTTTTTGTAAATTGCATGTAGTTATTCTTTTATTGAAAACAATTATATTCAAAGCATAATCAGATACTAGATATAAACAATTCTTTTAGCATTTGAATTTTAATTCGTCACATTGTAAAGAACATACTCCTTTTATTAATTCAAACCTCATTATTAAAATTTCAACATTTAGTTTAAAAGTTTAGTTTTTCACAATATGACGAATGAAATGTATTTTAAAGTCAGATATAATATCAACTAAAAATTTTGTTAGAACATTAATGTACATTTAGAACCTTCAACTTATAAAAGTAAAAATTTTAATTGTAAATTTTGAAGTTTAAGCTATAAATAGGTTTTGATTTTGCATTAATATTCTTATAGGTCCTCCATTTTCAGTCACCCATAAATAGGTTCTGTGTTTTTTAAACTTTGCATTTGAATAAATGTAAATGGTTAAATTCAGTATCTTTAGTCCAAGACATATATTTGAAAATTGAATATCAGATTGAAATCTAAAAAGTGTGGCTCATTTTAATTGATGTTTGTATATACAATTCGTGGACATTCTTAGAAAACTCATTTCATGTAAAGTGAAATAGAGAATGTTGAAAGTGGGCGGAAAGGCACCGTTATTAGGATTTCCTATTCTCGGTCATAACATTAAATCAATCAAAAATTAAAAATATTAGTCACACCAGATGAAAAATTTCTACAGCAAATTTGTCCTTTAACACTTTTATTTTTTATATTTATCATTTTTTGCCAACTTTTATATTTTTTTTATGGTGTGTGTATATACTTCTATATATACACATACACACGAGAATATATAAAGTTATAATTATTTTAATTTTTTGTATGGACCTCTGCAATTATCCTATCCCTCTATCTAATTCATTCGTCATGCTAGTTAATCATGACATATACTCTCTCAGTCTCTGCATATAAAAAATCTTTTAATTTTTTTTAAATATAAAAAATTATTAGTATATATTTTAATAAATGAACCATTATTTTTTTATTAAATTGAAAAGAGAAAAGGACAAGTACTCTTATTAATTTATTTTATAAAATATTTATCTTTTATTTATAATAATTAAAATTTAAATTAAAATGTTACTGTACTTTTTATTAGATGATTAATTTTTATTAATCTGTGTAATTTAATAAAAAATATTTTATATATAAAAATGGAGGGTAGAATGTAAACTCAAAAAAAAGTTACAATAAATAGTGCATTTCTTCGCAAACGTGGCGGTGAACTTCCTGCTTGGTCAAAAGTCAAAAGACGGAACTGGGGAAATTCATTCCATTACTCATGTTTTCTTCAGGGTTGCCACATGGTACTGTTACTTTCTTTTGAGTCTGGTCCGTTCAGGAGAGACAAGCATCCAATGCATGTAAACACGTGTCATCATCCTATGATATCAATTAAGTCAACCGCTTAAACTAGTCGGCTGCTCTTGCATGTCTTATTTTGTATGAGGGTGTTCACAGGTTTAGAAAGACCAATCGAATGAAACCAATCAATTCACTGAAGCTTAAAACATATTTAGGCTTTTTTCTTTAATTGATTTAATTTTGTTTTTAACCAATTTAGTTCAATTTAATTTTAAATTTTTATTGTGAGATGTTGTTCAGAATCAATATATATATATATATATATTAACTAATAATTTTAAACTTTTAATTGCTATTTTCATTAAATTGCAAAATAATATTTTTAACAGTTAATTAGCACATTTAAATATTATAAATTAATATATTTTCTTTAAAATAATTATTATAAATTTAAAAAAAATATTAAAAACGATAATAAGTAACATTTAGTTAATTGTAATATATTTTTATTAGTGATTTATAAATTATTAAACTTAAAGAAGAGAGAAAACTTAAAAAAATTATGAAAATGTATGAAATAAATATACTAAAGTTTCGTTTCGTTTGATTGAAGTTTTCAAAAGAAAAATTTAAACCGAATTAAACCAGTTGATTTTGTTATAAAAAAAAAAAAAAAACCTCATGCAAAATCGATTTTGATTGCTTCATGTCACCAGTCCCGCTCGCTTCTTTCCCTACTCACTTCGTTTTCGCTTTTTATTCATCCATCCTTCCTTCTCACCAGACTTGCTTGTGTTGCCTCCTTCTGCTTCAGAATTATTCATTCCTGATGTTATCATTTCCCTCCATTGTTTTCCCAAGACTCCACCCAAGCTTCCTAGTTATTACTAGTAGTTGAAAACTTAAAATTAAGATACCTTACTCTTTAGTCTGGTCTCCCAAGCCTTTTTTTTTTTTGGGGGGGGGGGTGGTGGGGGGCCTGACTGGTCTGTGATGCTTGATAAGCAAAACAACGGAGAGTTTCAGAGTTCTGTATCTTTATTCCTTGATGCTATATATGCCTTACAAGGACACTTGCTTTACAAGACAGTATTACACCAAGAAACTTCATTAGAGATGGCGAGACTTTAGCTTCCGCAAGTGGGTTTTTTGAACTTGGATTCTTCAGCCTTGGGTCTCCAAATATCATATGGTGCAAAAAATCTCCTTCGACAGCCTTCTGGGTAGCCAACCGAGACGCACCCATCAACAACGATAGTGGAAAGGGTATTTCACGATTGAATGATCATGGAGTTCTTCTCCTTCTTGATGCCACAGACAACGCTGTGTGGTCCTCCAATTATTCATCAAGCAGGGCATATAACCCTTTTGCCCAACTCTTGGATTCGGGAAATATCGTGGTGAAAAATGGACGTGGGAGTGGTAGCAACGGTAACTTGGATCAACTCTCATGGCAGAGTTTTGACCACCCTTGTGACACATTAATGCCAGGAATGAAGCTTGGGTGGAGTCAACAAAGGGGTTTGGACAAATTTCTGTCGTCATGGAAAAGCTCAGATGATCCAGGTGGGGGAGATTATATTATCAAAATAGACGGTAAAGGGTATCCACAGGCCATTGTATTGAAAGGTTCCGAGGCGAAGGTTAGAGCTGGGTCATGGAATGGCTTCTACTGCACAGGGTTTCCAAGTCATAATGTGGATCCCTTACCAACTGATGAGTTTGTGTCGAATGAAATAGAGGTAAGTTACAAATATGAGCTGACAAATAATTCCATTTTCCATAGATATACAGTGACCCCATCAGGGATTTGTCAGCGTTTTGGTTGGGCAATTAAACAAGCAGCTGGCAGATAATGCACTCTGGACTCCCAGATAAGTGTGACGATTATGCCTTGTGTGGTGCATATTCTATCTGCAGCATCAGCAACAATCCCTTTTGTGAATGTTTGAGAGGGTCTGAACCCAAGAATTTTAAGGAATGGAATATGTCTGATTGGAGCAGTGGCTGCACTAGAAGGGTATCTTTGGGCTGTGATGGTGGTCATGGATTTAAAAAGCATACAGGCATCAAGTTGCTAGACACTTCTTCTTCATGGTATAGCAAGACCATGGTCCTTGAGGAATGTCAGAGTCAGAGATTATGTCTGCAAAACTGTTCTTGTACGGCATATTCAAATGTGGATATTCGAGATGAAGGAAGTGGCTGCTTGATATGGTTTGATCAACTATTGGACATGAGACGATTTCCTGAGGGAGACAAGACCTCTATGTACGAGTTCCTGCCACAGAGCTAGGTACTTTCATTGTTTTGTTCACTGCATGTCGTTTTCTTTTTCCCCTTCCACGTATCTGTTCAGTTTACTACAAGTTTTCACTTGTATCGATGCGAAGGTGGGAGGGGTAAGGGAAAAGAGCTGTGCGTGTTAAAGGCATCAAGGAAACCAATTGTGCATGATAACAACATAAGATTCTAATTTGAAGTGGTCTTAGATAATGGCGTTCTTCTATTCATTATGCTGTTTTGGTCCCCAATTTATTTCCATTTCTCTCCTTAAATTGCACGATAGCATTGGTCTTGTGCAATGAAGGCCACTTACTTTGTAACGGACTTTTTTGGACTTTAGACGGCTGGAACAACAAAGCTTTAATTTAATTCGTTTAAGGATTATATTACTGTGTTGAATAGTTTAGAGATAATATTATTTTCCCACAAATAGTTTATATAGGAATAAAATTACACCTTAATCCTATTACAAAACTACATCATAAAAGATTAAAAGACCTATTTAACACCTCTGCGTAAAAGTGAAAACACCCCACAGGACATTCCTAATCAAAGAAAAATCCTGATCTGAACTGTGAGCCTGGTTGGCCAAAGAGTCTTCACGATGAATGCAATCTCTAAACGTGTGATGAAACTCCACCACCCAATCACTAAAGATCAGCTCTCTAATCTCTTCAAGTTCTGAGCTTAGGCGATGATCATTCCCTCCATTTCTGAAAATTAAATTCAAGGCATGCAAAGAATATGAAAAGATTTGAATTTTAGACAAACCTAATCTTTTACAGACTTCCAAACCGGATTTGATGGCCCAAAGTTCTGCAGCTACGATAGGAACTGAATGAATTTAATTTCCTCTGAAATCCCAGAATCCATTCCCCATTAGAGCTGCGGAGAACCCCACCACATGCAGCTTGTTTTTCCGCATTCACTGATGCATCGAAAATCAACCCCTATATACTCTGGAGGAGGAGGAGACCATCTTGCTTCATCCCTTTGTGAGCCAGCAGATAAGTGACTTTGTAGATGACCCTCGGCAATGTCCTCTCTAATTCTTAGGAGAACTTGATGAATACAGCCTCGTGGTGATGATTGTACATTTTGAAAGATCTTCCTGTATCGACTAGGCCAACATAATTGAGAGAAGATTTCCTTCCATGCCCACCGTTGGAATTTTGATTTGCTTGGGTTACGCTGTGGGTTCCAATTAGGCCAGACCTGTAAGTTAGGCAATAATAATGGGTTAATAAAATAAGACTGTATTTTCTTAGCAAAAGAGCAGTCACGAAGAAGATGAAGTGTGTTTTTCTCGCAAGACACTCATAGTAACACTCACTAGTTGAGGTTAGACCTTTTCGGCCCAATTACTTGGTCTAAATCACCAGCTAACCACTACCTTCAACTTTAATTAGTTAAGCTTTCCATTTATTTACTACACAGTGTCACACGTATGAGAATTGGTCAACACTGAACTAGTCAATTGCGGTCCCCACGTAAAAACGTGAAGAGAAGAACGAAAGCGAGCAGAAAAAGTTTGTACTAGAAGCTTCCAATGAGACACGTAAACATCCCCACGACGCTGTTTCCTCATTTCATTGAATGGACCATCTTACCCTTCGGGGCCTTCTGCGAAGGAAGGCCATGGCACGACCGACCTTCCTTCTTCATGACCTGTAGCTTAGCTGTCTTCTTTGTCTCCCACTCCTTCTTGGAAAACTCAATTCCCCTCCTTCTTCCTCTTTATATACATTCCTTCGTTTCCATCGTCATTCATCTGTCCATCCTCTCTCTAGTATTGTATTTGATTTATTCTCTCTCGCTTTGATTCTTCTGCAATGGCTGCGCAAAACCCTCAAGCTCAATTCCAAGATTCTCTGCCAATCATGGCCGGAAAGCTGGGTGGGGATGGCTTGATTGACGAGCTTTGCAATGGGTTCAATCTTTTGAAGGACTCTGAAAAAGGGGTTATCACTTTCGAGAGCCTCAAGAGGAATTCTGCTTTGCTGGGGCTACATGGCTTGAGCGATGAGGATCTTTACTCTATGTTGCGGGAAGGCGATTTTGATGGCGATGGGGCTCTAAGTCAGTTGGAATTCTGCGTCCTGATGTTCAGATTGAGCCCTGAACTTATGGAGGGGTCTAAATTGTGGTTAGAGGAAGTCCTGCAGCAAGAACTTAAAGATTACTGCTGATTATTTTTTTAATTATTATTTTTGGTTATGTGATTGTTGAATTTGTCATGTTTGGCAAATTTCCTATACTTGTGAGGAAAAAAAAAAATGAAAGAAAGGAAATGGAAAGTAACTCGAATGACATTCTTATGTAAATTTGGAATTCAAAATTCTTTTTTGAGTTTTCTTTATTTGATCACTTTTGATTCTGAATGTTGATTGATGATCAAGATGTGCTACTGGGTCAAGCTTAAGGCTTAAAACCTTTTAATCTGAACCCATAATTATTCAGTCGGGATTAGCCTAACTGCGATTGGTTCACAATTATCGGACAAGAAAAGCTCAATCAGGTAGAAAAGAACAGCATAGGAAAACTCAAGAGAGTTGGCGTGTGCCCCTCTCTGGTGGCCCCTCTGTTCCTGGATTAAAATTTTTACTCTAAACATTAGGAAATGTAGTAGGAAAACAGACATTTCCCGTGAAAATTTTGACTTACAGCATGACATTTGAAAAATTTTCTGTCCATATATGATCTGGTGTCAATTTGATTAAAATCGATGTGTGGTAGAAATGGCTCAATGTCATAGGATTATGTCTCAGAATAATCATATTTTTGAATGTCACAAAGAAGGCCTGAACATTCAGATTGAGCCCTGAACTTACGGAGTGGTTAGAGGAAATTCTACAACGAGAACGCAAAGATTATTTCTGATTTTTTTTATTAATGCTGATTTTTGAATTTGTCCTGTTGGGGCACATTTTCCATATACTTGTGATAAAAATGATGAGAAAGAAACGGAAGCAACTTTGACATTCTTATGTATATCATCTGATCTATTGGATTATTATTTTCTGCCAAATATTTTTGCGTTGCTTAACCTTCAAGTGTAAATTAGGAGTTCAAAAATTCTTAATCAATTTTCTTTATCTGATCAGTTTTGAATATTGATTTGATGATTAAGATGAACAAGCCTCAAGGCTTAAACCCTTTAATGTGAACCAGTAGTTATTTTGTCCGGATTAGACCGACTGCAATTTTGGTTCCGAATGATTGGCCAAGAAAAGCTCAATCAAGTTGAAAATAAGAACAAAGGAAAACTTTTTAAGTGGTGTATGTATCTTGCTGGCAACCCTTCTGTTTCTGGACTATTTTACTCTAAGCACTCTAGGAAAAGCAGTAGAATACAGACTTTTCCCGTGAAAACTCTCGACTTGATTTCCAGCATTACTGATTTACCGCTGAGAAATTTTCTGCTCATAAATGATCTGGCTTCAATTGAAGTAAAATCGAGGTGTGTAATAGAAATGGTTCAATGTCATAAGATTATTTCTTAAAGAATAAAATACCTGTTCTATTTAGAGTTGAAAAGTTGGTTTCCCTTTAATAGGGAAGCAAAGGACTGCTTGATAGTGAACAATTAAATTGAATGTCAGAAAGAAGGCCAGGACGTGTCTTTAGCTGATCTTAGCGCATTCATTCATTAATATCTGTAGAAATACGAAGTTGAAACTATTTTTTCATAGATGACAATAATGAAGAAAATTCATATTTACATTTTGGACAATGCATTCCAAGTTCCAACCATCTTATTCACCCCTTGATAATTCCTCTTAAATGTATGAGCTAAACTTGACCGCCAATTACGAAGTCAATGCTTGTAAACAAAAGCTTCCCTATCACATGACCTTTTGATTTGTCCTCATGCAATCATGTAAATCTACATGCTTCTGGTTTCCTTATTACTGTGGCAACGTCAAGGATATGTATCTTTAACTTGTGAAACCCATTTCATTTTAGCAATGGCCATTCTTCCTTATCTGCTTGCTCTTACAAATCTGTTCATGTTCTATAGCCGATTTTCTTATGCAACTGACACTCTTACCCAATTTCAGTCACTTCCTGATGGTAGGACCTTGGTTTCGAGAGATGGAAGCTTTGAACTAGGTTTCTTTAGCCCAGGTAGTTCCAGAAATCGATATCTTGGAATTTGGTACAAAAACATCCCAGTTAGAACTGTTGTTTGGGTTGCCAACCGTGACAAACCAATCAAAGACAACTCTAGCATGTTGAGCATAAACACAGAGGGACACATCGTGATTCTCGGCCAGAATCATACTGTTGTTTGGTTGGCAAATTCAAGAACAAAGGCCTTGAGTCCAATTGTCCAACTTTTAGGCTCTGGAAACTTGGTATTAAAAGATAAGAAAGACCAGAATCCTCAAAACTACTTGTGGCAGAGCTTTGACTATCCTTCTGATACACTTTTGCCAGGAATGAAGTTTGGATGGGACTTGAGAACTGGTCTTAATCGACGAATAATAGGATGGAAGAGCTCAGACGACCCTTCTCCTGGAGACTTCATATGGGAGCTTGTAAATCATAATAACCCTGAGGGAGTTTTATGGAAGGGCCAAACAAAGTATTTCCGGAGTGGTCCTTGGAATGGTCTTCGATTTAGTGGAGCTCCTGAGTTGAGGAACAATCTGGTTTTTGATTTCAAATTTGTATCCAATAAGGATGAGGTCTATTACATGTACAACTTGAGGGATGATTCAGTAATTTCAAGAATTGTTATGAATCAAACAATATATGTACGTCAGCGTCTCACGTGGATTGATGAAGCTAAAAGTTGGAGGCTTTTTGCTTCTGTGCCAAGAGATGATTGTGATCGGTATAATCTATGCGGTCCATTTGGAAATTGCGTCATGGGTGAGTCACCAGTATGCCAGTGCTTGCAAGGATTCAAGCCAAAATCATCCCAGAACTGGGATGCAATGGATTGGACTCAAGGATGTATCCGCAGTGAACCATGGAGATGCAAGGTAAAGAACAGAGATAATTTTCTTAAATTCAGTGCACTCAAATTGCCAGATGCCTCACAGTCTTGGGTTGATGGAAGTATGACACTTGAGGAGTGCAAAGCCAAGTGCTTGGAAAATTGTTCCTGTACTGCTTATGCTAACTCAGATATCAGCAGAGGGGGTAGTGGCTGCATCATCTGGTTTGGTGATCTAAATGATATAAGACAGATTTCAGCTGCTGGGCAAGATCTATATATTCGGTTGGCTGCTCCTGAAATAGGTATGACCTTTTATCCATCATATGCTGATTATCTTTTGACAGCTTAACTACTTCATTTTTCTGTGCATTTACTGTTAGTTTGATCATGTGTGAAGCTGACCGTGAAGACGCAGATGGAAAGAAGATAAAGGTGATTATATTACCAGTTGCCAGTTTCTTGGCTCTTGTGATGTTTCTCACTTTATTTTACACTTACAAGAACCGAAGACGGTCTGAAGGTAAGCATTCTATGGTGCGAATTCCTTTTCCTTTTCAATTTTTTCCCTTTTTCTTTTTGAAGGTTAAGTTTGAACTGAATAAGATTAAGTAGCGTGTAACTATTTGGTCAAAAGATTAAACAAATTCCTTATTCATGTTACTAATTTCATCTACTTTACTCCAGTGGAAATAGAGAAAACCTTGCCAACAGAAAATAATGATGAAGGCCCAGAAGAAGATATGGAACTTCCTTTCTATGACTTGTCTGTAATAGCCTGTGCTACTAATGACTTCTCAACTAACAATAAGCTTGGGGAAGGTGGTTTTGGGCCTGTATATAAGGTAAACTGCAACATTCATGTTAAATAAGAGCAAAACAACGAGTGCTATGCTTCTGGCTTATCACAGATTGACAATATATTTAAAATATAAACTTCTAGGGTGTAGTGGCAAATGGACAAGAGATTGCCGTCAAGCGGCTTTCACAAAGATCTGGACAAGGATTGGAAGAATTTAAGAATGAAGTTGTTTTGTGTGCCAAACTTCAGCACCGTAACCTTGTTAAGGTTCTTGGTTGTTGCATTCAAGGAGAGGAGAAGATGCTCATCTATGAATACATGTCCAACAAGAGTTTAGATTCATTTATTTTTGGTTAGTGTCCATGCCAAACTGTTTGTTTGAAGATTCATTCATTTCTGTAACTTCACGTTGGATAATGAATAATGTAACTTTGAAACTCAGGTTCTACTACTCAAAGTAAATTGCTAGATTGGCCTAAGCGCTATAACATTATACTTGGAATAGCTCGGGGGCTTCTTTATCTTCATCAAGATTCTAGATTGAGGATTATCCATAGAGACCTTAAAGCCAGTAATGTATTATTGGACAATGAGTTGAATCCAAAAATTTCTGATTTTGGCATGGCAAGAATCTTTGGAGGAGATCAAGTCGAGGGAAACACAAGGAGAGTGGTTGGTACATAGTGAGTATCTTTTAGTTTTATTTTGGCTTGCATTTCTACACATTATTAAAGATGGAATTAACTCATTTGTGACTCTTTTTAGTGGGTATATGGCACCTGAATATGCCTTTGATGGGTTATTTTCCGTCAAATCCGATGTGTTCAGCTTTGGCATATTAGTATTGGAGATAGTAAGTGGAATGAAAATCAGAGGGCTGTCTTTGCCAAGCAAGAATATTAATCTTGTGGGGCATGTGAGTAGCAAATAATCCAACTTTATTTTTATCTCTAAATTGAAGTGGCAGTTGATGGATGTTCTGGATTTTTGCAGGCATGGAGGTTGTGGAAGGAGGACATTCCACTGGAATTGATTGATGCATGCTTGATGGACTTTGTTGTTGAATCAGAAGCATTGCGGTGCATCAATACTGGCCTTCTTTGTGTGCAACACCATCCTGATGATAGGCCAGACATGGCATCGGTTGTAGTGATGTTGAGCAGTGAGATTGCTTTACCTCAACCTAAAGAGCCTGGTTTCCTAATGGAGAAAACCTCAGTTAAAGGAAGTTCCTCATCTGGCGATCATTTGACTTGTTCCACCAATGGAATATCTATTACCCAGTTAGAGGCCAGATAGTGAAAGATTTTTACTTCTTTGTTCTTTCACTGCAAGTGGATCAGTTGTATTCTGATGATTCTGATTACAGACTTGAACTCTCTTAAATCAAGTGTTTGATTTCAACCCAGCTTGTTGCTTACCATTTTGAGCTGCTGTGAGTTTTTATTGTCCATACCTCAACAAAAGAAATGCTACCTGTGCATGGCATTTGATTTTCCTTTTACACGACATGGTAATGAAAATGTTTTTGACCTGGAGTTAGAATTTTCTTCTGGCACGTGGTAATGTTCTTCAACTAATGACTGCTGAAGCCTTAACCTTGCACTGTAAAATTTGATTCTCTTTGTGTCAAGTTCCATCAATTATTACCAAGTTTTAGACCATATTGGAGGAAAGTTAGTTGGGAGGAGGCTGGTCCCACCCACACCACACCCCCCCCCCCGCCAAAAAAAAAAAAAAAACTCCGAAAAAAAAGGTTAGGTCTCTTTGTGAGTGAGTAGTCAACTTTATGATTCAGTGGGTTATCTGCTGCTTTTGCAATATTTATGAATAACGCAATCTGGCAGCCGTCAGGCAGCTGGGACTTCAATTGCAGTGAGTGGGGGTAGTTGTTGTCTTTAGCTTGACATTTGGTAACGGTTCAAGAATGTGCATGTGTATTGTCTATTACCATTGACTTGGAAAAGGCTAAGGAGCGAGAGTGTTGATCCATAAACAAACCAAAATATGTATGGTGTGCTGCAATTATAAATGAATATCTCGTCAGTACAAGTTGTACCCTATTTCCTAAGTTTAAGATTGGATTAAAGATAAACTGAAAAGAAGGAAGGGGAAGATGTGTACGTGTGTTTGATACATTATTTGAATTGAATAAAAGAATGTATAAGATGTCTTATGGAATTTCTGTAACTTGTGCAACACCAGTCAGGCATAGGGTTTTGAATTTTTTTTTTTGTTTTAGCTTTATTGAAGAAAAAATATAAAACAGAAGTTAATAAACTCAAAACGCATCGTAACAGGACCAAAGGTTGAACTTCATTTGCATACTTATGATGTGTTTATTTCAGAAATATTATTCAACTTATTTTTTTCGCCATCATTATTTGACTTCTTTAACATTTGATAAGTTGCAAATTAATTCATTTTTTAAAAAATAAAATTACATAATTTAGTTTATTATCATATTAAAGAAAATTATTTATATAAAATTCATGATGAAACACGTGTACAAACACTGCATTTTGTTTTTTGGGATAATACATGGCATGAGTAAAAGTGCAAAAGAAAACAAGATTGGGTCAAGTCATGGGGTTAATGAATTCGTCATTCGCATACGTGTTCGCTTTCTTAAAGTTTTTTTATTTTTTATTTTTTATCGGAGAAACATTACGACCAAAGTAAAAATGTTAAATACACGCCAACAAACCCAAAAAAAAAAGAAACAAATTACAGGGACTCAGAGTCTGTTTGGTTTCTGTTTCTATTTTTGTTTTTAAAAATTTTTTATAATATAATTTCTAAAATTATTTTTTAAACAAAATAAAATAAAAATTTATTTGATTAAGTTAATTTAAAAATAATTTTTATATTAAAAAAAGGCTGATAATAATGGTTGGAGGTGGTTAATGCTAGTGGTTTATGATAAAAATTATTTAAGCTAATTATATTTTTTAATAATCAAATGTAGTGTATTTTAAAAATAAAAAAATAAAATGAAAATAATTTTAGGATGTTTTCATTTTTTTGGTTTTTTAAAACATAAAAATGAGAACTTTTTTCAAAATAATTAAATCCAAACACTTGCTCCAAATTATTTTTTTAATTTTTAAAAATAAAAGATAATTTTTTAAAATAGAAACCAAACAGCCTTTTAAGGTAATCAATAATGACCCAATTTCATATAATAAGATTCATGGTTTTTCTTATTAAAAAAAAAAGATTTGTGATTTTTTAAAGTATGGTGTGGTTGATGTTGGGGGTGAATAGAGTATTGTTTCTGTCTTTTCGATGATGAGAGAGAACAATCAAGTTGCTGTAAAATTAATTTTGATGTAGTTTTGCTTCTTCCAAAATGTAAGATATTCAAGAATTCTTAAAAGAAGGCAAAATTTAGCTATTTAGCTTTATATACTTTTATCTAATTAAATTAAAATACGTAAATTTTAATATATTAATAATAAGTTTGTTATGGAATAAATTATTTATAGAAGATCATCCACATGTCATGATTTAATTAAATATAGAGACGTTTTTTTTTAAAAAAAATTCCAAATGTGCTTGATTTTGAAATCCGATATATTTTGTGAAACCTTTCGTTCAATTTCACCGATGAGAGGTAGGATCTCATTTTTTGCATTCCAAGAAATTCAGGACACAAGAGGAAGAAAAAAGAAGTATTGTGATTTGATTGATTAATTAATTTGAGTCAAATATCTTTGGCTTGTGTACAGTGGCTAAGGATAAGAAGAGAAGCTGGATTATTGCAACCAAAATACAGTTCATTAGGCAAATGCCACTTTCTTCAATGTCTAGAGACTTGTTTTGGAGACGGTCACATGACATGATGCCATCTAGAGGACAGATTTGAATCTTTCCGAATGTGGACCATTTCCAAATACCAGTAAATATCTCTAAGATGCTCCTGTTGTCTTGATTGGCTCAACCAAATTTAATGGAGAAGCTATCATCTCCACCAAAGTATGTCCTCATCACCAAGAAGATTCTAAAGTTAGCAAGATTGAATATATAAAAAATATTATTAACAAGTTATTCTAGTGAATTTACAATTATGCATTACTGAAATGACATAAGGCTTTTTACTTGTGTGTGTGCTACAGGGAAAAAAATTATTTCCCAAAATACTGTATGAGAAATTTTTTTTATCATAATACGACAAATTGAAACTTGACTTGTATCAAATCGATTTATAAACATGATAGATTAAAAAGAAATTCACCTGATATGTACCGGGTTTTTTTTTCATGCAGACAGATTAAAAGTTGATTTTATTGAAACCAATTTCTCTCTTATATATTATCAGATCTACATCTATTTGTTACAACATCCTTACCTCCCCATTATTTTTTTCCTCTTTCTAAATTATAATTCTCCCAAGCAACATTCAAAGGTCTTTTGGATTAAAAAAGAAATTGCAATTGCAGGGTTTTTAATAGACAATATTTCTTTTTTTTTTTCACTTCACCCTTTGCACTGAAAGAACAGAGGAAAAAATGACATGATCCAACCTCAAATCCATTTGAATGTAGACAATAATAGAAGGGCCCATGAATTGATGTGTATTCAAATTATAGGAACTAGTAATCGACCATATGCCTGTATTCCTGATGTTACTGTTGTTGTAATCAAGGAAGCAATACCAAATACATCATTAGAAAGATCAAAAGTGATCAAAGCTATAATTTTATGTACTTGTAAAGAACTCAAATATAACAACAGTATGATAATACTTATCGCACCCCAATTTGTTCTCTAACAATTAGAGTTGATAATTTGGGTGGGTTGAACGTATTTGACTTAGGTTTAAAATATCCAACCATATAAAAAAGCTAATTAGCCAAGCTTGTCTCTAGCATCTTAAACTTATTTGAGCTGGCTTGAATATACAAATTGTTAGATATTATTTTATTTTATTTTTTTAGCCAATTTCAATTTTTATTTTAAAACATTAAGATTGTTAATTTTTACATTATTTTAATTTTTTGTTAATAAAAAAGAATTTGGGTACTTGAACCAAACCCATTCAGGTTTGGGTATCCTAATAAGTTTTAAGCAAAGAAACTTTTTGAATCTTTCAAGTTCATCTCTAAAATTTTTTGAGTTTATTTGGACTAGCCTGAATTGCTGACAATATCCTCACTTGCTATTATTTTTTTCTCTATTGTAATTCCTATCAATTAGAGGTGCAAGAAAATTTAATTTAAAAATTAATATTTTTTTAAAAAATAATAATTTGACAATTAAAAATAATTACAATAGGCCAAAAAAACAAAAGAATAGAATAAATTAAAATAATATTTAACAATTCAATATTCATACTAGCTTGAATAAACTCGAGATATTAGGGTCAGGCTTAGTTATATAATTTTTTTTATTTAAGTATTTTAAGCCCTATTTAAATAAACTCACCTCACTCAAATTATCAATTTTAAATGTAGGAGGAGGAATTGGGAGTGGAATGTTAGTTGAAAGAATTAAAAAAAAAGAAAAAAATAATATTGGAGGGGTAATGACGCTGCGACAATGAATATATGAGAGAGAAACTGGTTTCAATGAAGCCAACTTCAAATCGATAACATGAAAAAAGAATTCGGTGCATGTTAGGCCAATTTTTTTTTCAATCTATCATGTTTATAAATTGAATTGGTACAAGTCAGGTTTAAATTTTTAGTATTTTGGTAAATTCTTTTCACCACGTAGCATGTTGGGAAACAATTTTTTTTTTCCTATAACATGCTAGGTCAAAAGGCCCAAGTTATGCTAAGGTGTTAATAAGTTTGTTTTATATTATAACAAGTTAAAAGATTGAATATGTAGAAAGTATTATTAAAAGGTTTTATTAGTGAATTAATAAGTATACAGTGGTAAAATGATAATTTAAGTTAGAATTTTAGCAAGTTTGCTTCAATTGTAATAAATCAACAAAATTAAATACTCCTTTTTTAAAAAATATAAGACATTTTTAATCGAATCTCACCCTTAATAAAGTATTTACCTATTTTCAAACTAACCCTATCTTTTTATATTTATCCCTATTAAACACCCTATAATAAATATAAAGTGAACATCAATAAGGATACTTTTGAAAAAAAAGTAATGATTACATTTCAAAAGACTAAAAATGCCTTACATTTTTTAATATTTAACTCTTTTAAAATGACTTATATTTTTTAACAGAAGGAGTATGTAAAATGTATTGTTAACAAATTTCATTAATAAATTAATAAATATGTATTTATGAAATGGGGTTTTAACAAAATTGGCTTTATATTTTGAAAAAAAATCTTGGACCCTTACGAAAGGCTCAAAAGTTGGAAAATTAAGGGGCCAAAAAGGGATAAAATAACAAACTCGAATGTAGATGAGTAATTTGAATAGTTTATCTAATATCTTTTTATTCTGGAGATTTTTGTTGAAAATAATTGTATAGAATACATAGAATATAATTGCACGTATTTTTCTTTCAAATAAGATCATTAAATGCAAAGTTTAAAATTTATCAAGTTTTTCAGTTATCTTATATCTAG